CTTGCTATAGTAGTACTATGGGGATCCCTTCAACTCACCGACAATCACTTCGAAGACACCACATTTTACTGAACCTATTTTACCGACAAGATTTTTTTATAGACAATTAATTCACTAACATTTAATTTACCAACATGCTTGTTTTACCAGCTTGTTAATTTTCACCAACACAAAAATTCACTAAAAATCATTTTACAGACAGTTTAAATTTACAGACAAGCTTTCTTTACCAACACTAAAATTCACTAACAATATATTTCAATGACAATAAAAAGGGTAGGACTAGTGTTGGCAGTAGAATTACAGCTGTTTTTATAAATTCTGAAACACTCTAAAAAAATTTGCTAAAGTCTATTCAGCTAAAGTTGATAAGTAATTGATTTTGGTATGATCAGTATAATAAAATAATTAAGAAAAGCTATTTTTGAATCATAATGATTATTTTACAATGTCATAACAATAATGTTAACGATTTTAAATTTTTATTTGAATGTTTGTCTAACATGTTTGGTATGTTTAGTTTGTACGAGAATTTATAGAAAAAACTTTCATGTCAACCAATAAACCTTAACAAGAAATATAAAAAGAAATCGAATATAAACTAGACTCTTATAATAAATATATTACTCGAACAGGTGCCGCTATTAAAAAAGTTAAATATGATTATGAATATTAATATCTGTTGAGAATGCATGAAGAATTATAATAAACTAAATCAAAATAAAAAATTATGTATATATTTATTTATATATTTTTCATCTTCAACAAAATAATTAGAAATAAATAATGCTTTTGTTTAAATAAAAATGAATCTTGCCAAAAAAATAAGAATTGAAATTTAGTTTAGTTTTTTAATAATGAATTTTTCGTCTTCGACAAAAAACAAAAAATAATTAGAAATGAATAAATATCTTCATTTGAATGAAAATGGATCTTGCAAAAAATAGGATCAAAATTTAGTTTAATTTTTAAACCTGAATTTTTCTTCAACAAATAAATGAAAAATAGTAGAAATGAATAATGTCTTCGTTTAAACGGAAATGAATGTTGCCAAAGAATAGGAATTGAAGTTTTATGCAATTTTTTAAAAACTAATTTTCGTCAAAAAATAATTAGAAATAAATAAAAGCTTTGTTTGAACTAAAATAGATCTTGTCAAAAAATATGATTTTAAATTTTGCACAATTTTTTAAAAACCAAATTTCACTGAAAAATAATTAGAAATAATAAAAGCTTTGTTTGAATAAAAATAGAACTTGCCAAAAAATATTAATTGAAATTTTACTTAATTTTTTAAAAACAAAAATTTCATTGAAAAATTAATTAGAAATGAATAAAGGCTTTGAATAAAAATAGATCTTGCCAAAGAATAGTTATTGAAATTTTACACAATTTTTTAAACCTGAATTTTTATCAAAAAATTATTAAAAATGAATAAAGGCTTTGTTTGAGTGAAAATAGATTTTTTGAAATTTTATATAATTTTTTAAAAATGAGTTTTCGTCAAGAAATGAATAAAGGCTTTATTTGAGTAAAAATGGATCATGCCAAAGAATATCGATTTTAGTCTTATTACTGTATTGTAATATATATTAGTCACCTGATCTTATTAAATTACGCATCTAATATTATCTGCTACTGAATCCCAAAATCAATTACTTATCAACTTCGGCCGAATAGACTTTGGCAAATTTTTTTAGAGTGTCCCAGAATTTATGAAAACAGCTGTAATTCACTGACATTTAATTTACCAACATGCTTGTTTTACTGACTTGTTAATTTTTACTGACACAAAAATTCACTGAAAATCGTTTTACAGATAGTTTAAATTTACAGACAAGCTTTCTTTACCAACACTAAAATTCACTGACAATATATTTCACTGACAATAAAGAGGGTAGGACTAGTGTTGGGGTAGAATTACCATCATTTTCATAAATTTTGTGACACTCTAAAAAAATTTGCTGAAGTTTATTCGTCCGAAGTCGATAAGTAATTGATTTTGGTATGATCAGTATAATATAATAATTAAGAAAAGCTATTTTTGGATCATAATGATTATTTTACAATGTTATAACAATAATGTTAATAATTTTAAATTTTCATTAGAATACTTGTCCAACATGTTTGGTACGTTTAGTTTGTATGAGAATTTATGGAAAAAACTTTCATGTCAACCAATAAACCTTAACAAGAAATATAAAAGAAATCGAATATAAACTAGACTCTTAAAATAAATATATTACTCGAATAGGTGCCTGTCGAGAATACATGAAGAATTATGATAAACTAAATCAAAATAAAAAATTTATGTATATATTTATTTATATATTTTCATCTTCAACAAAATAATTAGAAATAAATAATGCTTTCATTTGAATAAAAATGAATTTTGCCAAAAGAATAAGAATTGAAATTTAGTTTGGTCTTTTAATAATGAATTTTTTGTTTTCAACAAGAAACAAAAAATAATTAGAAATAATTAAATGTCTTCATTTGAATGAAAATGGATCTTGCAAAGAATAGGATCGAAATTTAGTTTAATCTTTAAAACTGAATTTTCTTCAACAAAGAAATGAAAAATAGTAGAAATGAATAATGCCTTTGTTTAAATAAAAATGGATCTTGCCAAAGAATAGGAATTGAAATTTTATACAATTTCTTAAAAACTAATTTTCATCAAAAAATAATTAGAAATAAGTAAAGGCTTTGTTTGAATGAAAATAGATCTTGTTAAAGAATAGGATTTTAAATTTTACACAATTTTTTAAAAACAAAATTTTGTCGAAAAATAATTAGAAATGAATAAAAGCTTCATTTGAATGAAAATAAAACTTGCCAAAGAATATTAATTAAAATTTTACTTAATTTTTTAAAAACAAAATTTCATTAAAAAATTAATTAGAAATGAATAAAGGCTTCGTTTGAATGAAAATGGATCTTGCCAAATAATAGTAATTGAAATTTTTCACAATTTTTTAAACCTGAATTTTCATCGAAAAATCATTAAAAATGAATAAAGGCTTCGTTTGAGTAAAAATGGATTTTTCAAAGAATAAGAATTGAAATTTTACATAATTTTTTAAAAATGAGTTTTTGTCAAGAAATGAATAAAGGCTTCATTTGAGCAAAAATGGATCATGTCAAAGAATATCGATTTTAGTCTTACTACTCATTGTAATATATATTAGTCCTCTAATCTTATTAAATTACACATCTAATATTATCTGCTACTGAATCCCAAAATCAATTACTTATTGACTTCAGCCGAATAGATTTCAGCAAATTTTTTTAGGGTGTTCCAGAATTTATGAAAACAGCTGTAATTCTACCCCAACACTAGTCCTACTCTCTTTATTGTCGATGAAATATATTGTCAGTGAATTTTAGTATCGGTAAAGAAAACTTGTCTGTAAATTTAAACTGTCTGTAAAACGATTTTCAGTGAATTTTTGTGTTGGTGAAAATTAACAAGTCGGTAAAACAAGCATGTTGGTAAATTAAATGTTGGTGAATTAATCGTCTGTAAAAAAATCTTGTCAGTAAAATGGGTTCGGTAAAATGTGGTGTCTTCGAAGTGATTGTCAGTGAGTTGAAGGGATCCCCACATGTTGAATTAAGTATTACAGCTGTTTTTATAAATTCTGGGACACCTAAAAATTTTCTTGTTCCCGGAATCTTTTTGGTTTCGTCCGGTAAATTACCTAGCTCTCTGGAAACTACATTGCTATTTTCGAACCTTCAGTCCGGAAACAGCGATGTAGTTTCCGGAGAGTTAGGTAATTTACTGGACAAACCCGAAAAGATTCCGGGAAACAAGGAAATTTTCAGGTGTCCCAGAATTTATGAAAACAGCTGTAATTATCATTTTTATTTGCCAGAATATTAAAAATCTGGCATCGACTACAATTTTAGCCAGCCAGTCAGCTAAGCCGTCAGTCGGCTAAATACCGACTATGACTAATAGTCAACTATAGTCGACTATAGTCGTAACCGAACCCATCCCTAGTGGTAGCTACCAACACAGGTCGAAATAAAGCAAATTGGGTTCAAATCGGCATCCGATTTGAAATAGATATTTGGCGGAAATAAGATATCTATAGGATACAATTCGGATTAATATCAGCATACAAGACATATCGACAAACCGATAGCTTAATAGGTAAATCGATAGAGCTTATCCTATAGCGCTAACGATTTACTTATTGAGCTATCGGTTTGTCGATATGTCTTGTATGCTGATATTAATCCGAATTGTATCCTATAGGTATCTTATTTCCGCCATATATCTGTTTCAAATCGGGTTCATATCATGATCTTGTGATGCCGATTTGAACCCGATTTACCTTATTTCGACCTGTGCAACTCACATCACTAGATATATAGTTTTTGATAATTAATATATTTAGAGATCCTTGAACATTATTCATAAAATGTATTGTTTGATCATTCAAGTTCAAATATACTTATATTTTATAATCAATAAATAAATAATTAATATTAATTTTTATCTAATTAACAAGTAATTAATTTAATAATTTTAGATGTTATAAATCTTATATCAAAATCTTATCTATATTATTTAAATTAATAAATTTTAAATTTTTTTGCTATTTCTAATCTTAGAGCTAATTTAATACGGCTATCTCTCTATAAATACACCCTTTATAAATGCATACATCATAATACACCTTTTATAAATATATACGTTATAAATATATGTGGTATTAATATAAGCCAGCCAAACCAGCAGATAATAGGCATAAAGAAGTATCTTGAGAATTCTCATCACAAGGGTTGTCACATCATAGAACACTTCTACAAGCATCTAATTTGGTTTTAAATGTAGTTGCAGTGGTACTTGTAGTGGTATTTGTAGTGGTATTTGTAGCAGTATCGCATATTAAATAATTTTGACCAACTGTAAATTAACGCTTTGAACATAAGTAAAGCAATCATTAAAAATTTGATAAGTATAATTATCTGGCATAGCGTTAACACTAGTGGCTAAATGTACAAGATTTATAATAACAAGAATGAATATAATATAATGATAGAGCCGATTGTAGTAATGACAGCATATATATTTTTATCAATTTCAGGTTTTTGATTACTTGTCTAGTACCATCTACTTCCTTTGATTCATTTTCTATGGATTTATGCATCAAATTTACATATTCTTTAGAAGAGAAAAAGAAATTTTTAAACCCTATAATAATTCCACCACCACTTAATAATGCTGTTAAAGAATCAACTATCAAGGGTAACGTATTTGATAACTTATCAACGCCATATTTAGCACCATTTAGAATAGAGGAGGTAAGAATTTGAGGTTTAGGATTGTTGATGGTTTCATTTCTTTTGAGATATATCGCAATAAAAAGGGCGAAGAATGAAATTAAAAAACTGATAATCAATAATACTAATACAATTTTCCTAAATCCATGATATTGATCTAAAAGTTTAGTAAAAAAGATTTTTTCTGTTTTATCTTCCTGCACGGTAATACATATTTTTACTTTTTGTGATTCATTTTCAATATTAGCCAAGATTTCTTCAGGTTTATCTTGCTGGATGTCCCCATATTTCTGGGTAGTAATTTGTGGCTCAGACATATTTTATTAAATAAAAAGTTATTAGTGTCTTTTATCAAATATTCATGTAGTTTATATAGAAAATATATGAATCCAACAAGGGGAAACCTATGATATGACACCGATTGAAATATAATCTTTCAGAACTCATTTATAGCAAAAACTTATTTAAGATTAAATTGCATACCTCAAAATAACACTTATTGGTGTTATTTCAAAACAAATACAGCACACTTTGAATATAAATACATATTTATCAAAGCTCATTTACCTGTGGGTTTCTTAGTATAGTTAGATATTCTAAAATAGGAATATAGTATGACCTAACTTTCTAGTTTAGGCTGCTGATTCTATCAGCCATTATTTTTATCGGAACAGAGCATCCAAAGAAAAACTATTATCAATCAGCAAAAAAAAAACAATGGGAGATTATACATACTCTATCAACAAAATGTGCACCACAATAATGCTTTTTGAAAATAGCTGATGTTTGCAACTAAACAATGATCCACGGTATATATATCTAAATAGGTTGCTAAGGGTGACTGTTCATCAAATAGTCCAGACCTAAATCCTATAAAAATATACGGAATATCTAATGTTGAGTAAGCAAATGCCTCAACATTGAATAATAAATTTAAATGATGAAAAAAGCATGAGCTTATTTCTTAAGGAAAATAAAAATAGAATTTCATATTAAATAATAATTCCTGCTAACTTCCTACTTCTTATTAAATTGATTAAAGTACGTACGGTGCAAGAAATCTAAAACCACAATTATACTTTATAAAGACAAAATTATAAACTGTGAAATTAAATACTCAAATTTATTGAAGTCGCTAATTTAATTTTAATGTGTAACTTGAATAGGTTACACGGAAAAATGCGATTTTATTTAAAGGGTTTGAATTTCCTATAAATAAAATCGTACTTTTTCCGTGTCCTTAGTTACAAATTATGCCAAGCTGATAATCAAGTAACACATCAAAATTCATATTTCTTAAATTATCGACTTCAATAAAATTATTTACATGGACACACTTTGTTGATGTTTATAATTTAGGTTTCAATGTTTGTATTTTGTCTGTAAAATTATATATTCGGTTTAAAAAAATATGAAGTTTATATTCTATTTAGCTGTTTTATGAAAGTCTGCATCCTAGCCTTTTTTTTTATTAAATAAAGTACAGATAATTTTCTAAAGATTCTTTAAAACAAATGAATTTTTCTATATGAATATAATTTTCTAATTTTTTTTATAAATTTTCGATATAATACAAACTATAAGGTACGGATATAAAGAACAGAAAAAAATCACTTCTGTCGATTTTAATTAGCTCAATTCCAATATATTTCACAAATTGTAACTAGAATATGTATCATAAATTTAGTAATGAAGAGATAAGGAAGCAATAATAATTATATGAATGAAATAAGAATTTATAGCTAAAAATTTTAAAATCAGTCTAGCATTATTAAGTTAAAATTAAAACAAAGTGCCCGATGGCATCCCCTCACTGAAAAAAAAGTTAAAATTGAGACAGATATTTTGGATAGTATTGACTTTCTGGTATGTTGATTATTTGAATAATAAATAACAACAATTATCATTATTGTTATTAAATAAAGAAACTATACATAATAAATAACAACCTTACCATTACTTCTTTTAAAATATTCAATAAAACTAATCGTATTATCTACTCGGCAAATAAAATTTTGCGGAGACCTACGTTCACAAGCTTAATATACTCAACTCTGTTTCAAAATTAGTTAACTATATTCAGAGCAGCAATTTTTACTTTTGTTTAAAAATAAATAGGCACGCAAGAATATTTGAAATGATCATCATAATTACACGATAACATCGATATTTGATAAATATCATCACATGATCCAATATCTTATAATTATTCTATGTTATTTGCAGCATTACAGTATTTTAACACATTACTGCAATAGCATTATAATATTTTAATGCAACAGCATCATGTTATTTCAATATAACAGCATAACAGCATTACGGCATTGTGTACACGGCACATAAAATTTACGGCAATTCCGTAATTCGGTAATTCTACCGCCAACACTAGCCAACACTGCTTATATTGGTAAGACTAAGAGCTTCATTTAATAAACAAACCAGAAATAATTAGAAACATCATTGTCTAGTTGAAAGATTTTTTATAAACTGCAACATGCACAAAGCAGTATAGCAAACTTTTATTGTGATTGGCTAATTTTTGTGTAACGATTTTCCGTCACGAGAATCACAAGAATTGGATTCGCAGCCTCGAATACGAATTCGCAGAGTTGTGGTATAA